ATATTCAAAAGTATTTGAACACGCTAGTTAACTCGCTCATAGGTTAAAGTCACTAAATTAAATAGGTTAGGTCCGTTTTTTTAATTTTTTTGAAATTTCAGCGTTGAAGGACTTGATCGATACTTGACTTTTTAAGGTTTAAAATAAATATCCTTAGTAATTAAGCTTAATTAGGTTAAAACAGACGTCTCTTTAAGCGCGAAATGTTGAATAATTTATTTCAGAAGCGAATGCGATTATTCCGTTATCCCGTATTTTGTATATCGTTAGATAAAAGCTACACGTGCCTGTAATAATATATTCCACATCGTCTATTTTTGTGTTTCAATTTTAATAAAGAATTTATAAGTTTGTCAGTTTTCGCTCTCTGTCCATAATCAAGTCGATTTTATCGACCGAGTGGCTCTGCTTTATCTTCCCTCGTATATCAAACAAATAGTTTTATAGTTCAAAAGTATAAGATATCTTCGAGATCTTCGTTCGATTTTCGGCGAAGGAAATTAGAAAACGTTCCAACAATAAACGTGGTGGATTTGAAACGAGATAGAAAAGAGACAGTTGGAGAAGATAAAGTCTTCGCTGCTCTTGGGGAAAGAAGTCCGAGAGAAACAAAGGAGGAGAAAACTTTTCGGTCCCATCTGAGCCGGCTATTTATCATTCGAGACTTCTTACGGCGCGGTGTCGTAACAAAAAGATGCGTCGCCCCTTCCACCCTCGAATATTTGATTAATGATTTCAATCTCCCGCCCTCGGAAATATTCGCAACTTTTTAAAACCTTGCGTGCGACAATACCATTCGCCGCTTTAACATTCCACGCATCCACCATGAAAACTTCAATATCTGACCGAACACGATGCAAACGCCCACTGCTTTTTGGGAATTCTCCGCTCCCACGGAGCATCCCTTACGTCGTTTTTACCCATATTATCCTGTAGTTCGTCTTTCCGGAGCAGCGTATGAAATATCCAGTATAAAATATCCTCGTGTTCCATTCTTTCTTTCCTTGCAATTTAC